GCCGGTTTCCGTTGTGGATCTTGGTAAACAACTCCTTATTAGGAAGTATTGGCGCGCTGTCCCTCAATACCCTATGAGAAAACCCCACGTGGCAGCTTTGGATTGGACTTGAGTAAGCTTTATTAGGCTGTGTGTGGGGGCGTGAGGAGAGAGAGCGCTTGAGAGAAACCTAGAGTTAAGGCCTGAATAAACCGCTGAAAGAAGAATCCTGTGTCGTGTCTTCCTTGCTGGCGAGGGGGTCGCGACAGTTGGTGGCCCGCACGGGGAACCGAATACCTCTCAATCCCAGGATCCAGAACTTTCAGTGGTCAGGGTGGTGCACCGGTAAGTTCCCAGGTAAGTGGGAATCCACGGAAAAATTAGCGGGTCGCTCCTCTGTAAGCAGAGAGAGCGGGGATTTTTTGGACTTTCGCTTTATTTCTTTGCTTTCGCTTTCTGCATTAACGCCATGGGTGCCTCTGCTTCTAGCCCTATTCTGTTAGTCCTGGATGGACTGCTACGATCTAAAGGTTTAAAAGTTAAACAGAGTACTTTGCAGATGTTCTTAAAACAAATAGATCTAGCGGCCCCGTGGTTTGCTTACTCGGGCAGTCTCACGACCCCCAGCTGGGAAAAGCTAGGCAGGGATTTAGATTTTGCACACGAACAAGGGACCCTCGAAGGTGGGGTGATTCCCTTATGGAAGTTAGTAAGGGGTTGTTTATCTGACAGTAGATGTCAGGATGCCCTAACCAAAGGACAGGAGGTTCTTGAACAATTGCTTGAGGAGAGGTCCGAGGGAGCTGAAAGTATTAAGAGTGGGGGAAGTGATAGAGATGATAAACGTTCAAGTCAGCCAAAGACTAGACTTTATCCAGATTTGACTGAATTGAAAGCCTTTGAGGAAGACAGTAGTTCAGATAATGAGGAAGTATTGGAATTGCTATCACGGCAAGCTAGAGAGAAAAGGGGAAAAGGTGAAACTAAAGGGCGAGGTGATCCCCGTAAGGCTGTCTACACAGAACATAAGTACCCAAAGACAGATGTGGGATATGAGGAAGAGGGGAAGGATGCTTTGGAGATTCCTCCTGACCCTCCACCCTATCCTAACCCAGGACTCAATAGGACATTTCATGCACAAACATGGAGAAAGGTTCATTCGGACATGGGTCTAGCATTCCCTGTGTTTCAAGATGCCAATCGGGGGCGATATCATGAACCCCTTGACTTTAAAATTGTCAAGACATTGGCTGAATCAGTCCGAACCTATGGTGTGGATGCTGCATTTACACTTACCCAGGTGGAGGGCCTTTCTCGCTTTTGTATGACTCCGTCTGATTGGGCGAGCCTGGTGCGTGCCTGTGTTTCTCCAGGAAAGTATCTGGATTGGAGAGCATTTATGTTAAAGGGGGCCACAGCCGATGTCTCTGCTCTGGCTCAATTGAGAGGAGTCTAGAGCTGGCTGTTTAATGTGTCTGGCTCTGTACAGGACACTGGTAATGGTAGGAGGCTTAAAAACATTTCATACAATTCTCAGGTGTCCAATGCTACACTGCCCTCTGCAGCAGTCTGCCTTCATTCTCCGTTTCTGTTCCTTTTGACCAATGATACCAATGCTGCAGGATCAGAAATGATTGACTGTTCTAATTGTACATGTGTCTTATCTGAGTGTTGGAATGGATCTTGGAGCACGGCAGTTGTTATGAAGGTCCCGACTTTCGTCCCGATTCCGGTTACTGCGGATCCGGACTCCTTCCCTATTGTTGAGGTGCTCAGGAGCCATAGGGATTTTGGAATCATGGCAGCTATTGTAACAGCGGTTGCAGTGTCTGCTGCTGCAGCGGTCACTGCTGGAGTGGCCATGGCTAGTCAAGTGCAGACTGCGGCCACGGTTAATCAGGTCATCCAACAAACTTCCAACATTTTAGAGTCTCAAAGTAAAATCAATCAACATATTTTATCAGGAATTTTGGCCGTTAATCAAAGGGTGGATCTCCTCCAAGCTCAGATTGAGGAATTGTCAGACCTAGTACATTTGGGTTGTGTTGATCATCGTGCACATCTATGTATAACATCTCTCAGATTTAATAATTCCAGGAATACCTCTCAAATTATTGGACAGTACCTGGCCGGAAACTGGTCCATGGAAGCAGAGAAGTTGATCCAGACCCAACTGACACAAATTGCCATGTTGAACAACACTCGTGTGGACCCTGTGACATTGGGCCAATTTACGAATTGGTTGTCTTCTGCTTTTTCTTTCTTTAAGGAATGGGTGGGAGTAGGCATTTTTGGAGCGATGTGTTGTTTTGGGGTTGTCCTTTTTCTGTGGCTTTTCTGTCGCCTAAGAGCTCTCCATAGCCAAGAAAAGGCTATGATTGTCCAGGCTTTTGCAGCCCTAGAGAATGGTATCTCTCCACAAGTTTGGCTTGCGCAACTTAAGCAATAATTTCCTGGGTTTTGGCCATTGCACCCCAAGTTATCTTTGACATTGCACTGGGATTGGCATGCCCTCCTCTTCCTGCTTTCCCAGTTATGAAAGGCCCATGCACTCTGCAGGCCTTGTTGCCATTGCATGCAGGTGGGCTTCCATGCTGGTGCTGCACTTTATGCTTTGGACCCTTCGTTTTCTCAGGGGCTGAGAGATGGTGTTGCCACTTCCAACCTCATAGTCACTGACCGGCTACTTGTAAAATCCCCTTTCCTTTTCGTCGTCATCACGATGCAGGATGTGAGGCAAGGCACTGCACTTGAGTGATCCGGTCTCCGGACCTCAAGGGAAGCACGTCCTATTGCATACGGGTTTGGCATCCAAGCCCCATCCCACGAAAAAAGGCGTCGGCTAATATGGTGTCAGATCTAGGGAAGGCGCCTCCTTGGGACTGAGCCATACATTGCAGCCATGTTTGCACAGTGGGATAGGACCTTTACTTTCGCCTGCATTGTTTTTTAAGAGATAAGGGGGAACTGTGGTGAGCCGTGTTTCTAGACCATTGCCGCCATTAGAAGATGGCGCCGGTTTCCGTTGTGGATCTTGGTAAACAGCTCCTTATTAGGAAGTATTGGCACGCTGTCCCTCAATACCCTATGAGAAAACCCCACGTGGCAGCTTTGGATTGGACTTGAGTAAGCTTTATTAGGCTGTGTGTGGGGGTGTGAGGAGAGAGAGCGCTTGAGAGAAACCTAGAGTTAAGGCCTGAATAAACCGCTGAAAGAAGAATCCTGTGTCGTGTCTTCCTTGCTGGCGAGGGGGTCGTGACAGTACCTTGATTCTTCTGATAGGAATAATTTGGTGTTTGAGAATTACCAGAAAATTAAAAAGGCTTAAAGCATCTTATAAGCCCTTTAATCCTGTTCAAGTATGATACCAAGTCATACCTTCTCCCAGTACCCAAGAGAAACCCAATGAAATGGCAAATGAGCCCTGAGTGAATGAGGTTTGAGGGCTACCTCACTGCTGGATTTTTTCAGTTGTATGATCCCATACACATCTTTATATTTTAAGACCACTCAGTATATTTCCCATATTGTGTATAAATGAGATCATGCAGTATTTTTGACTCTGTGCCTAGATTATTTCACTTACTATAGTGTCCTCCATGTTTATTTATGTTGTCACAAATGACAGGATTTTCTCCCTTCTAAAAACTGAATAATATTCTGTTGCTACACTGATGGATATGTAGATGGAATCCATATTTTGGCTGTTATGAACAATGCTACAATGAAAATGGAAGTTGGAGAAATGCTTTTATTCAACATAATAATTTCAGTTCCTTTGGATATTTACCCACAGTGGGATTGCTGAATTATCTGGTAGTTCTATTTCCAATGCCTTTTAGAAATGTTTTGCATAATGGTTTACCTTCCCACCACAGTTTCTTACTCACAGTACAACCTGAACGGTTTTCTCAGATTAGTTGGGAAAGAACTATTACAGCAGTTCCTGAAGGAGAACATTTATCTTTCATTCTAACAGGTATAAGGTGATGTCACATTATGGTTTTAATTCACATTTTCCTAATAATATAAGTGACTTGTGGTCAAGTCTGGAGATGGGACAGGCATGAAGATTGAGTCTGTGGGGCTTGTCTGGCAACTGGAGTTTCAGGGACTGGCCTGATTTTGAGCCAATCCTGGCAGGTTGGTCTGGAGTCCAAAGCTGTACAGGAAAGATTGATACCACTGTATAACTGGAGACTAAGTCTGCTGGGCTAGACTTGAGCCTGAGGGGGTCACCCTACAGCTTTATACAACAGAGGGACTTCCTAGAACTTGGGGCCGCCTGTGGAAAAGAAGACCAAACTAGCTAGTGTGACAGGGTGGGCCTGAGGACTCAATTCAAGAATACCAACCTGGAGGGACTATAGTGGACTGCCCAGGACTGAACTTAACTGGGTAAGTCTGCTATGGGAGTCCAGCAGTGTATCTAGATATACATTTCATTCTCCTTCCACTGTACACGTGATAACCCCCTCCATTCTGTACAGCCTGGGGTTAGGGAAAGGCTAACATTAACATGTAAAACTGTCTTTCTTACCATCTTCTATACACCTCTCATTATTTCTTGTTACACCAATACACTGAAATTTCTCCCCAGACTCCTTTACTCTTGCAAAGACATGTTCTTGTTAATGATTTTTTTTTCAAATGGGTATTTCTATGAGGACACAAGTGCTGAAAGTCCTATTCAGCCTTGTGGCTACTGTAACTTTCCAAGAAGTATTGTAATAAACACAATTAGAGCATCTTTAGGGTGGTTACGTTACACCATCAGTGACATGGGCTGGGAGAATGAATGGGTCCTGGATGTGTGGGAAAGCAGTGTCATCATCTGTCCACACATAATCTTCCACAAACACTCCTACGCTCCCATCACACTATACTGGTGGGGATGAAACATTAAACATTCTCCCTTAGACCTGAGTGAAATTGAGAAGGGGAAATTTCCCTTTCCCCAAAACTCTCTCCCAACATCCTCAGGGATTTACTAAAAAAATAGTCACAAAATCACACAAGTATAAGTTAAAATTTTTATTACTTCATTCTGAGGTCTCTGTTCATGAAATACATAGAAGAGCCTGATATGAGGGTTAGAATGAGGCAAGAGGAAGAAAGATCAGGACAAACTGGTCAGCATTGGGAATGTTGGGTGAATATGTCTTTTTAGGGTAGGCCTTTGTACTTGGTCCCTTGTGCATAGTGAGCATCATGAGAAACACAGGCTGCTGATTTCCACCTGCCTTAGCCCTTGAACTTGCAGACATAGGGTAACACTCTATCACAGCTGTAGTCTCTCCACCTCAGAAATCCTGCAGAGGAAGAAGAAGTAAAGTGAATGGAACTAGTGGATCTTATAAAGATAATGGTTCTTGTCTAGCCATTTTTACCAGTGTTCAACTCCAGAGGAAGGAGATTTGGAGAAAAGAGATGAGAAGTGATTGGAGAAGTCAGACCAACATTGCATTTCCTAACTCAGGGGGGATTCCTTGAATGTCAGGCTCAGGAAAGGGGAGGAGAGGAAGAAAAGGCTGGGCAGAAGTGGCTTCTCTGAGGCTTACCTGAGTTTCGTGACACGCCCCCACAATAACCACGGTCTGAAGCAGTGGAAGGATTCCTCTCCCAGTTTGCGTAATTCAGCACATCAGTGCTACTCCACTCCCATCCAGCACCATTGGGTTCTTGTCCCTACAGAGCACAGGATGGAACGAGGTAGGTATGTGTGTGTGTTGGGGGGAAGGGTAGAGATTAGAGCTCTGCTTGCATGACCCCCTAGCTGGAACTTCTGATTCCCCTCACAGCTTCATGGAGTTTGGCCTTCTCCACAGGATACACAGAAGGCTCTAAAGGAATGTTTCCCACCAAATTTCTCATTCCTACAGGGAAATCCTAGACAATTATCCCAAGAACTTTGGAACCACTCAAAATCAGTGAGGAAATAGCTTAACGCAATTGGTGACATTTTTGTGAATAGATTCTGAAACTCAAAGATAATATCTATTCTTAAAAGAGAAAATATGTCTCTTACCTTCAGGTAGTGATCCCTTAGAATAGTATGCTCAGACTCCCTGAAAATTTCCAAAGCCTCACAAGAGCATAGTATAAAAGCTGACAAGGGGCACATGAACAGCATCAGATTATCTAGGGAACCCCACATAACTTAGTTCTTAACATGGCCTCAAGGATTTCCCTTTGCTTGAAATATCACCCAGAATCTGAGCTCTAAGTCCCTTCAGGTTCCTCCTGGGCAGGCATAGAGAGAAGGCCTGGGTGACAATAGCCACTTGAGATGTAACCAAAAGAGTATTGAACTCACAAGCGTGGGATCATGGAGCCCAATCCAGACATATGAGTAGCTGTTCACACTGCTCTTGACCAAGGAAGACACAAAGGAGGCTTCAGCCCCACTGAGCACAGACACAAGGTGTCCTTCAGACCGCTTCTGGCAGGCCAACTGCATGGTTGGGAAGCAAGAAAATAAGAGGGAGCCTGAGATCTCGCTAGAGAAAAACAGGGAAGAGTTTGGTGGGATAAATAGCATTGGCAAGGGTGTTCATTCTCGTCCCAGGAACTGTGGAAGTTGGAGATCCTGCCCCTGGGATACATGTGGCCTTTCCCCTGTCACCCATTCAGCACTCACATCTGCATCTATCCAGGATTTTGGTGTGGTAAACAAGGCATAGCAGTAGGAGGCATAGGCCTTGGAGCCTTTGGGACACCTGATGTGTGGAGAGGCCTGTTCCTCCTGAGTGTCTTCACCTGGGTAGAGGGAGATACAGAGGGATAGGATCAAATGAAGAATGGAGATTGGGGTGGGGAGGGTAATGTAGGGAACGTCTATGAGGTCTCCTTCTGGGAGGGAAACCACAATCCTCACCACCTCTCAGCTCTGCTCATGCTTTCAGGAATCTGCATTCTCACAAGGCCCAGCCATGTTGGGCAGCACCACCTCTCATTTTACCCTTTCCCCTTACTCAATAGTCCAGGAGTCCTCCCAGTCTGAGCTGACAGTTCCCACACTGGGTTTTCTAATCTTTCATTGTTCCTTACACTGCATTATGGCCCTTTCCCACTTTCCCTCTTTAACCCACTCACATAAATTAGAAGTTTCTGACAAAGCAGGGAGCCACCTCATTCCATTGAGGATGCATACTCTGGCCTCCCACCACTGTTAACTGATGCAAGGGAGGGTGATGGAGGGACAGCAGGCAATTTCCCAGAGTGTGGGCACACCTCACCTTCCCCCATAAAGGAGCCTTCCTCTTACCGGATCTCAATGCTCACAGAAATCCCTGGGCTAGAGGCAGAGAAATCTCACCTTGCACCTGAGACAGGAGCATGAGGCAGGAAAGCAGCATCCAGGACATTCTGGGCAGGGCCATGGGAGTCAGCATCATGTCTGTGAGTGAGGAGACAATCAGCTCACTGTAGGAAATGTGCTCAGGCAGAAGACATGCAGAGACCCCATTGTGTCTTGCCTTTTTTTGGTCTATCCTGTCCAGATGTGTTGATCTGAGTGCTATCCATGCCCTTCTATGGACCTGGCATGAACTGGGAAATCTGTATTCTCTGGTCTTCCTGAGAGCTCCCTGGCCAGCCTTTGCTTAGTCTCTGAACTCCTATGTTCTCTGAGGACTGGGACCCCCTCCACCCTCTAGTGATGTGTGAGGTCAAACCCCTGCAGGGCTCAGCCTCAGCTTCTTTCAGCCTCAGTTCCTTTTGGCTCCCACTTACCTGTCTTGCAGGAAACTGGAATGCTTTGTCAGGGCAGGGAAGGCTGGACTTTTATAAGAGGATCTGAGGGAGGGGCATTGAAAGGAGGGGGTGAAATGTGTGTGCAGGCAGGGCTCATGGTAGGGCTTGGCATGGATTCAAGAGATTCCCATCAGGGGGAGGAGAATCTTCCTGGCAAAGCTTGGGAATCAGCACAGCTGTTACCTGCTTCCAGTTAGCAGGCCAGCTCTATCTCCAGGGCAGGTGAAGTTTGAACTTTACCCACCCTCTCCCAGATATCCCATTCTGAGAAACTCAAGAGAATGAATGCAACCCTGTGGTACAGATTATGCTGTTTTACAGTGTTGCAAATGTTATGGCCTTGGGTATTGAAGGAAAATGAATATCAGCAGTACCTTTTAGATCAACCAGCAAGAAGTAGTTCTTGTGGGCATATATGCACATTTCTTTATACCTGTGTATCTAGTAATATATAATACAGATTAATAAGTATGAATTGGGTGGGTTAGGGTTAACAATTGGAAGTATTGGTGAGCATGAAATTGCTGAAGGCAAAGAAAGAATTTAAACCCAGGTAAGAAGTAATGGCTTAGAATCTGGAGTTAATATTGTAGGTCAAATGTCCAGCAAGGCTCTCAGGAACAGTAGCTGAATGGACTTTCCTTCCAGCTGCCTCTGTGTGGTAGGACTGGGAAGCTCTCCTGGTTCACTGTAATTGTGGGCTGGCAGTTTCATCCTCTGATTTTGATAACATACTCTTGGGTATTCAAGGCCCTTTCAGAGTGGGTTGAAGTTTTAATGTTAAGTATTAGAGTAAAATGTTATTTGTTCCTTTTACTGTGTTGATATTTTGAGTGACAGGGCTCAAGAAATACTGGTTAAATGTCCTGATGCTTCAGTGTTAAATGAAGGTAGAGACATTAGCCTGTGTCCTTATAACCATATACTTGGAAGAAGCAAAAAAAGACACTTTCACTTAAATGTGCCCTTGAATTTGATGAAACATAATGACAAATAAAATGAATCTTAACCCTTTTGTTTTAATTGTCTGCATGACTCAATGGGTAATTTGTATACAGTGGTTCTCTTGAGAAAAATAAAAACAATTGCAACAACGAATTATAATTTACCTTTTCCTGCAACATCCTTTTTCTTGAAAAACAGACTGATGCAGTTCTAGTATCAAATATGAATACCTTGTTGACATTTTCTACATGTTCAATATGAATTAGTAATTTTTTAAGAAATCCCTGTTTTAATGCTTAGTATTTGAAATAATAGTAACACACATGAATAAACATTTTGGGGTCCTCAATTATTTATTTTTCTGTACTGGGGATTGAGCCCAGCGGTGCTTCATCACTGAGTTACTTCTCAGGTGCTTTTTGTAAATTTATTTCTCATTTTGAGACAGGCCAGGCTTGTCTTGAACCTCCAGTCTTCCTGCCTCATCCTCCCAAGTAGCTGAGATAATAAATAAATGCCACTGTGCCTGTCCATAGTTTTTAAGAATGTAAGTGTCTTATAATTAGAACAGTTTGACTACTGCTAATTTGCATATAGCACCAACTCCAAGGAATAAAGGAGATGGAGACATATTTTTATGTTACAACACATGGATATAATCAGCAAAGTCCAGAAGGTCAGAAACCCTATGATAAGAATCTCCATTTCCCCACAAAATAAGTATGATAAATAAAAGCAATATAAAACTCTTACCATGTGAGAGATACTCACATGGTTAGATCATGATTTAGGCAAAACAAAAATAAACACTTTTATGAGATTATTGGGTATAAACTCCTCGCTCATCCCTTGAGACATTACTGACCCTCACTTCACTTAGTAAAGTGTTCTGAGTACCCAAAAGATTGTTGCTGTTATTTTATTTAAACTAATATTATCTTTTATCCTGGTTAAAAATGAGAAAAATTAAAGTCTTCACTATTCATTTTTCTTGCCTTTTAAATACTTTTCTTTGAAACTGTGTGAGTTATTGGATCTCTGTCAATTCCCTTCACCCGTAAGAACTTTTTACAGTTTTTGCATGCAAGGTTTTTGGAAGTGAGTTTTCTTAGATTTTATTTTGTTCATTAGAGAAAGTACTTGTTTCTCCTTTACTTGTGAAGAATAACATTATGGTCTATGAAATTTTAGTTTTTCATTTCCATTCATTCTCATGTTTTCCGATGAAAAGTCTAATTATTATTCCTGTTCCTCTAAAGGTAAACTGTCCCCTAAATCTCTGGTTTCTTTCAAGATTTTGTTTTGTTTTGTTTTTGGTAATCTACAGGTTTAATGAGAGGCCTACATTGGGGTTTTTCTATTCATCCTACCTGGCATCCTTGAGCTTCCTGGATCTAGGGTTTGGTGTGACCTTAATTTTGGAAAATGCTTACCCACTTTTCAAATTATTTTTGTTCCTTTTTTTTCCTTCTAGTATTCCTATTATTCATAAGTGTTACCTTTTATAATTATTTCACAGTTCTTGACTATTCTGAGATTTTTCATTCCATTTTCTTTTTGCATTTAATCTTGATAAGTCACTATTAACAAATTTCCAAGCTCACTGATATTTCATCTGGCCATGTCCATTTGACTTATGAGCCAAAGATATTCTTCCTCCCTGTTAGAGTGCTTTCAATTTGTGGCATTGCGTTTTTTTGTTTTCTTTTTTTTCAAATTTGTTCTAATTAGTTATACCTGACAGCAGCTTGCATTTTAACACATTGTACATAAATGGAGCACAAATTCTCATTCCTCTAACTGTACATGATGTAGAGTCACATGGGTCGTGCAATCATAGAATGTATATAGGGTAATAATGTCTATCTCAGTCCACTATCCTTCCCACTCTCACACCCCCTCCCCTTCCCCTCACTCCCCTCTGCCCAATCCAAAGTTCCTCCATTCTTTGCTAGTGTGGCATTGCATTTTGATTATTTCATAGGGCTTACACCTCTCTGCATACTTTACAAAATTTCCTTGCCCATTGTCAATTCTCTTATTACATTAAGTATATTTGTTTTTAAAAAACATTTTTTTTAGCTGTAGATGGACACAATACCTTTATTTATTTTTATGTAGTGCTGAGGGTTAAACCCAGGGCCTCATACATGCTAGGCAAGTGTTCTACCACTGAGCTACAACTTCAGCCCAAGTATACTTATTTTTATTTTTAATTCCTGAGATTATATATAACTCTACAGTCTATGCCATATCTGAGTCCAGTTCCTGTGTTTGCTTGATTCCTTCCACTATGTTTTTCCTTGCTTTTGAACAGCTTTGATATTTTCTCTTGACAGCTGCACATGACATAATCTGTGAGAGAAACTGAAGAAAGAGGCCTTTATTGTGAGCTTTATGTTAGTTTGTGTTTATTATTTGCCATAGCTGTGGGAGCAGAAGGTTAATCTTTCTCCAGAGACCTTGTTTTTGTTTCATCTTTTGCCTTTGGGATTCCCTAAGAGATTCTTCTTAAATAGAAGACTCTGTAACATAAACCTTTTCCAGTTATCTGCTATTGAATCCCTGTTATGCAGCAGTCTCTATATCAGGAGAAGCATAAAATCTTATGATTAAATCTCAGTATTTGTGTGGGCCTGTGTCCTAGAGCCATGACCTTCAAAAGTATTTTTCTATCTCTCACTACTTTATGTAAGACAAGAAGTATAGAGGTGGCTGGAATTGGGTAAATACCTTACCCATTGTATAGGACTTCACCCATGGGTATAGGACTTTAATATGGTCTTTCTACCAGGAAGTAGATCTTTGCTATGGAAAATGTTTTAGTCTAACTTCAAACGGTTTCTTTTCTTCGCCCTGTGCCAAAGTCATGAGGGGATTACTCTTGATCCTTCATTATGAGAAACTGGCAAGTCCCTGGATGAAAAACCCATGCAAGTTTGGATTCCTTCCTAAAACACCCTTCCTAAGTTTGGATGCTTTCAGGAGTTTCTCACTTTACTGCCAATCCCCACTCAACATTCAGTAATTTCTCAAAATTAGCATTTAATAATATGTAACAAAAAATCCAACCATTATGTACAACAATGATACACCAGCAAAACTGGAGAAAAAATACCATTTAAATATTCCTAACACTTCACAGTTCTAGAAGTTTCTGGTCCAGATAAGCAGAAATTAAAAAGGGCTCTATGTACTTAAGTGCTGTGCACATATCAAGGAATGGATTTGCTCTACTACTTCAATTCTCTATTAGTCCAAAGAAAAATTGTTGGCTTAAAATGTGTACATTATTTTTGCATGAGTGTTTAAAAGAAGGAAGTACCGACTTGCAATTCCCATTATGTCAGCATTGTAACCGGAAGCCCAAGTTTCTCATATCTTACTGTCATCTGCAAAAGTCACAATCCAAGCAAAAATTTTTATTCTCAGGAAATAATTTAAGAAGCACTGTATAAACTATGTCAGGCTTCCCTAAGGCTGTTGGTGTCGCACCATGAAGAGGGACATGGGCAGTGGGTGCGTGGAAGAGCAGTGTCATTGTCATCTGTTCATAAACACACTGGGCAGGTATAGGAGACCAGGATTAGGCATTTTCTCTTGGGCTTGGATGGAACTGAGAAAAGGAAAGTCTTTTTTCCCAGGCACTCTCTTCCCCATCTTAAGGGTCTTTAGATACCAAAGCATACAAGTA